ATCATTAAACAACACTCAAGAGTTCATTGATCCCTAACTAGTAGTTATCACATTACACTCTCGCCCCTAGAAAAATTACATACTACTCAATAGTCCCATCACTCGGAAAGAATACTTGCAACTCATTGACATTTTCTTACTTTTATGTGTGAAAAGATGAATTTCAATCATCAATCAAATCAACGAGTAATCCACTGTGACATTAAAATGAATGAGATTGTTATACACTAATAGTACTTGTGTAGTGAAAGAGAAGACAGGTGAGGGCAACCCAATTGTATTTAACGAAAATTACAGAGTTACTCAGTAAAAATAGGAAAACCATATCGTAAATGGTTAATTGGCAAATCTTCAATCAATCATCAATCCATTGTCTGACATTTCACTTATTCATGCATTTCATACAAATTCCATTGTGTTCCCACTCTTCCTTTCTTGATCTTCCCTCATCTGCTGCTGCCAGACATTACGTTTACACACTCACGTCATATACTACTTATAAGTAGCGCGCACCACACTTGTATATTAATTGTCAAATGAAAAGTTGTTGACATAATTAAACAATACCGACTGATAAAAAATCTCATGTTCATTACACGTCTGTGTACATTGAAAAAAAACGCTCTTATCTGACATTTTATTAAATATTATCATTATTATATAGAGTAAACAAATAATTTTCTATGAAAAATTACAAAAATAAACAACTAGGGATGATAATGATGATGATGATGATGATCGAAAATGATTAGTAATCAATGTCTAGATCATTAAGTGGTTGGTTAATCAGTCAAACTTATGAGTACTCTGTTGTGATATGACATCATATCATGATACAACAAAAGTTTACATAGACAAACCACTGCATCAAACTAATCAATCAATATGATATTATTGTATAAGTCATTGAATAATCTAACATTTTCAAGATTTAAATACCTTTTCTTGTTTAAAATAACATCAATTCATCTTATTTTGTACCATGAATACGATTTGCATGAGGAAATCAAAGAAAAACAAAATGAAATTCAGTGATACACCTTAACAATAATAATCGTATTTTGATGATGTCAATAGGAGGCAGCAGCAGAGGGGGCGGATGGCAAGGATAAACAAATTACTAAAACGAAAATAAACTATGGTCTTCAATTACATGTAAACTGTGAGATCCAGTGAAAATCATCAACACTGCTTTAATCTCTTAACAGGCGGCAATGGACACTGAGAAAGAAAGAATATGGGACCAGGGATAGATTAACAAGGATTTTCCATTGCCAAATACTGGATTGACATAACAAGAAAGGAAGTTAAATAACTTTGTGGAAAAAAAATGCAGAGTAACTTAATTACATACAGTAAGGCAATCTGCCAAATAAGAAGATGTACCTTGCTATAATTTAAGTTGACTGAGAATTGATCGATGCATAAACTGGTTTGAATGACTTGATATGTATGTTACAGGGGTTGGGTAGTGGAGTGAATAATAAAATTGTAGTATAAATATTCAGTTAACAGTTATACTGATTAATGAATCCACTATAATACTTATAGTCTATGACGCGTTATTTTTAAGTTTGGAATAGTGAACAGCTATACCATTGAATTTCTAACTGGTTTCAATGAAAACATCAATCTACTGCCTCATGGAAAAAGCTGAGTTTCTTTGGAAGTCACGAGGCCAATGCCCATTTTCATAATCCGAGTGACCACTAACATGAAAACATGGAATGTTCGCATCACATGAGTGACCAGAAGAACTAATCAAATTGCTGCGGAAATGAAACGATACAACCGGTGCTCGGAATAAGTAAAATCAATTGAACACAAACCAGTTAGAAAAGATTAGCTTCCGGATAGATGCTGTTGTACTTTAGTTATGAAAAAGAATATACCTCACACTCAGTAAGTTGCACTGATGTTGTCCACAACAAGCCCAGAAAGCGTTTAAAGGATGGGAATCTCCTAGACCCAGGATAATTAAAGCACCCTTACAGACAAACAAAGAGGGGATTACAATGAATGCCATCTGCAGTGCTATGCACCCACAAACGATAGCAATGAGGACAATAAAGATCATTTAGATTTGAGGCTATAGTTGATAGTAGAGAAATTATCAGGGAATCACCTGACCGTCTTGATGAGACCCAAACACCAAGGTTGGAATGGACAACACTAGGTATGAAGACATTATGGGACAATATAGTCTAGCAGAAAACAACGAAAATGGTGAGGAAGTTACATGTTCCACAGGTGCAATTTAAGTGAAGACCAGTGTCAGACAATAATACCGACTCTCGCCCTTTTTGTTTCTTCTGCTGGCTGACTGGATTATGAAAACTTAAACACCTCAGGGGCAGTACGAAATGCAAAAGATAGCTTCGGTGTGGCTAGAAGATTTGGACTTCACAGATCAATTAGCTCTTCTATACCACACAGCAACAAATACAGGTGAAGATGGTCAGTGTAGCAGAAGCTTCTATATCAGTGAGTTTCAGCATACACCAAGGAAAAAAGCGAGACCTTAAAACACAGCACAGCACATTTGATTGAGAATTTTTGGGAACTTTGAAGTACATGGGCAGTTCCACTAGATAAACAAAGGGGATCTGGTAAAGACGGGAAGACACAAATTGCTGAAGCGCAAAATTGCTTCTATTGAAGAACATCTGGAACTCAAAACAACTGTCTGTCAAGAAACGCCAAAGTCGGAATTTTCAATACAAATGTTAAGACTGTTCTGAAGTACAGAGTTAAAACTTGGAGAACTACCAAAACCAACACCAAAAACGTTCAGGTATTTTTAAACATTTGTTCACATAAGATGTCCCATGTTCGTTGGTCGGACACCATGATCAGCAATTTAGTGTGGCAGAAAACAAACCAACTCCCAGATGTGATGGAAATTAGGGAAAGACACTGCGTTGCAAGACAAGCCTTAACTCACAATCTCCAACGTAAACAGAGGCCAGGAAGACCAAAGAATACACCAAACCGTGAATCGTCGTAGGCAAACATTAACAGAATGAATCGCCATTGGGAATAAATGGAAAGGAGAGTCAAGGAAAACTTTTATTGAGGAATACTATTTGGCGGTTAATGCTTTACAAGGAGGAGTAACATGCCGGAGGAATTAAGGATAAAATACTAAAAATGTATACTCATACACACACACACACAATGAATTTGGATTCATTTCGTAACTGATAATTAAGGAACAAATTTATTTTGTATGATTATCTCACATAAATTCAGCAATAAACGTTGAGGTGATGATTTTAATCTTATTTATATAAGTCAACCATTTATTTGTCCGTATAGACTTTGTCTATCTAGAAAGGAGAGTTTCGCAATGAAACAAACCATTTTGCTCAGAGAACTCAATTTTAAAAACAACAAATCACCTCTATCATTTTCAATTTTCAATTGTTACACAGATTATGTCAATTTAGTTTGTTTATCTTAAACGTCACTCTAAACTTGGTTTGTTGTAAATGAAAACACTGTTAATTATAAGCGGTAATTGCAAAAAAGTAAGAAAATATCAGAAAAAGAATTTACAATTAATTAACTCAATGCATACTTTAGCATCAAATTTCTTTTTCTCATATTCTTCATGAGGATCATAAACTTCTAAATTCTCTTGAATTAAATGATTCATTTCTGTATTATGATTTAATGTATCATCATCTACATGAGTAATTGTGGTAGGTGTAATTGCAGGTGTATGACGAACAACTGTAGCCTAATCAAGTGAAAATCAGAGAGAAAAAAAAAGAGACAATATACAGGATAAATAAAGTGATATTCAACATGCGCTAAACGTTAAAAAAAGGGATTTCATAGAGAAAAAACATTTGAATCAACAGTGGAGTATCTCATGTAGTTGTTGTACATTTCATTATTTCGAATTTGTAAAAATCGCTGGAACCACCTTCAAGTAATCTTAGCTTGTCTGTTAGTGTGCGTATATGTGTACGTATCACTGAAAATATTTCCAAAAGATAACTTTTTTTTATCTACAGATCGTATTTTGCTATAAGGACTCATGCTGAACTACACAGCATATTCATAAGCTTGAACATAAAGCTTACATATTTTTGAAGAATAACAGGGATCCATATTGTATAATGATAAGTGTTAACAAGTAAAAATATATAACTCCGCAATTCGGCACTAATTACTTTGAAATAATGAACACAATAGTAAAGGGACAGCAAAGATATGACAGAATCACAGTGAACTCAATCAAAGTGACGTCAAACGCCAATGTGAGGCAAAACTTGAAACTCTGTGTTGAATATATTCGCTATGTTGGTTGAAAATCACGTAATATTGTAGTGAAGGAGAACACAGGTGGGGCAACCGAATTGTATTAAACGAAAATTACAGAGTTACTCAGTAAAATCGGAACACCATATCGTAAATCGTTCATTTGCAAACTATCAGTCCATCCTATCGAACTGGACTGTTCCTGTTGCCAAACATCAATCCATTGTCACTACTATTCATGCGTTTCATACAAATTCGATTGTTTCCTAACTCTTCCTTTCTTGATCTTCCCCCATATTATGCTGCCAGACATTACGTTGACACTCGCGTCATATACTACTTATAAGTAGCTCACACCACAATATAACAGTTCTTATACATCACTTAAAAGTTAACTGAACAGAAAACTGACTTAGGTGATTAGAGTTAGTCAGCGGAAAGCTTTAAACATTGGTTTCATACTAATCGGCACACGTCAACAAGCCGTGTATCTAATCTTGTTCGAACTGATTTCCCCCGTATGATTCGAACGTGTATCATCCAGCTATATATAATAAAGTGAGACGTTAACACTGGGCTTTCGGGTCGTGACTGCCCTGCTGTAGGACTGAGATTCTTACAATTGATTAGTTACTGAGTGGTAATCAATGTCCTATTTTTCAAAATCTTGATATTATTGATCAAGTTTTGATGCGTGTTACCTATTAAAAGTACTTACATAAGAATCCTCTACCCAATGATCTAATGGTTGTGGGTGAATTTCAATTTCACACGCAACCTCGTTCTCATCAATCGTTGTCACATCTGAAGCTGAAACATTGAACAAAATAGAAGAACAATTGAATAATCTTATGAAATTAGATGTATCTTATCGTTTTAAATGAATTACATATAAAAACTAAATTGTGCGATAAACAAACTTATTGTGGGTGGAATGTAGGCTAAATGTTGTTGTTAAACTTTTCAGTAATGTTTTTAAATTGATAACGATTCAATCAATTTATTAGTTCAGATAATTTTTTATATATAACTGTTACTACGACAATTACTTCAGCTACATTGTTATTCAACTTGCTAAATACATCCTGTATTATAACTTAGTATGAGTGTAGTGAACGAGAACACAGGTGGGGAAACCGAATTGTATTTAACGAAAATTACAGAGTTACTCAGTAAAATCAGAAAACCATATCGTAAATTGTTCATTTGCAAAATATCAGTTCATCATATCGAACTGGACTGTTCCTGTTGCAAAACGTCAATCCATTGTCACTACTATTCATGCGTTTCATACAAATTCCATTGTTTTCTAACTCTTCCTTTCTTGTTCTTCCCCCATATTATGCTGCCATACATTACGTTGACACACGTCGTATACTACTTATAAGTAGCTCGCACCACATGAGGACTTGGGTCAATGCATGTTTGTGCCAGGTTCAAACATGGTTCTTATAACTGATCAATGTTTTATTAATCAATGAAGTGAGCAGAAGACAACGACAATGACAAGATTATTATTTCTCTAGGAGACAAACAATCAGTCAAGCTTCACAACTGATGTAACATGAAAAAAACCCTAGTACAAAACAGTATGAAGTCCAGTTATTAAAATAATGGGTTTCTATTAGGTGTATAGACAATAAATATATAGACATATGAGAGTGGAGAATAGTATTAAGTTACTTTTTGTTTCAAACATATACACTGATAATATAATTATTATTGAAGCATATTACTACTTACTCGACGAAGATCCTGATTTCTCTCGTAAAGGCTATAAATTGTAATGAAATGTTTGAGAAAAAAAACAAACCAAATTAGCAACTGAATTACTACTAGTTAACCAGTGAAGTGTACAACAAAAAAAAACAGACGACATTTGATGATAACCACTATTTACGACAAAAAACAATGGGAATTTCAGGATAACACTGATGATATTGAAAGGTGTGAGACGAAAGTCATGCAACAAGACAGAAAAAAAACCGACGAGAACAGTTATGAGAAAACTTGTCGACAACATATAACGGATGACAACAGGATGACGACACAAGGTAAGGCATGCATCATTGAAAGAATTACTTCATCGAGACTGTCTACGAATGTTATTGTTTGTTCTTTATGTATATCTTGTTGAACAGATGGCAATTCATTCACTAATGTCTGACTACTATATTCATGACATTCTTCTTGACTAAATGAAGCTTCAGATGTATAATCTCCATTACTACCATCAATATAATCATCATCACTCTCTTCTACAACAATCGACATACGATCAGGATAACCAATGACAATTTGATTTAATTCTACATTACGACTTGATATTAAATGATTATCACTTGTTTGTGATGATAAATCATATCGATTAACACCGATATCATCAACTTTATTGCTGCTGAATGCTGCTTTTTCTGTATTTTGTTCATAATTATTATTATTCTCCTCATCTTCTGATTTCAATTGTGCTTTTTCCATAGATGTTACTACTACTACTTGTTGTTGATTATTCATAGAGTCTGATAACAATTTTGCAATATCGAATAATTCATCCAATGTATCATATTCATCATTAACACATTGTGTAACACTACTAGTTGTGCTATTCTCGTCGTTATTCACAGACGGATAAGATTTATTATCTTTGGATTTGATTAATTTTACATTTTCAAATACAATTTCATTATCTGATTGTTCGTCGGAAATATTATGATAAGTAGTAGTGATTGAAGAAACCAGTTCTGGTTCACACTGGTTATCACTCTACATAAGAAGGCCAGAATGATGCACCACAACGAAAAAAGAACATGAAATAAATAGAATGATATTTAGTCAGATAATGATGATGATGCTAACTTAGTAGCATTTAAAATAAACAAACGTATTTTGATTATAGGATTGTGAAAAAATTGTTGAGTTTCTTTGAAATCATGGATCGATCAATGTTAAGCCACCACCACCATTAAATAAAAACCTGGAATCATTAGACGGCCGCTTTGTCCTACTATGGGACTCATCAGCAGTGTGCGTCCGAGACCCCGCTCATGGAAATCGAAGCCAGGTTCTTCGGTCTCTTGAATGGAAGCTTAAACTGTAGACTACTGGCAAGCACCCTCGATCGAAAGTCATAAGTTCGATTCCCGCGATTAGGTTCTTGGATGCGCACTGCTGATGAGTCCCATACTAGGACGAAACGGCCATTCATTGCTTTCAGGTTTTTAATGGTGGTCTAACATTAAAAATTCGATCAAATATTTTGTCGCAAATATATTTTAGCTGGAGAACTATTAAATACTAGATTGGGAGTTTTTCCTTTATTTTAGTTTATCCAAAAATACTATAGGCATCCATCATCTAAATGAGACAAAATTCAGCGCCATCAAAATCTCAAGAATATAAAATATAATTAAGCATTAAGGTTAGCATATAAAAATCATTTTCAAGTTTAATAATACACTGATTTTCATCTAGTGATATTTAGCAATAATTATCTCATCCATCCTTTTTCGATTTGGTTGATTTCCTCATGTCACAGTTTCTTACAGTGGTATACAGAAATCAAAATTAAAATGATATAAATTGTGGATAAT